CCGAAGTGGTTAAGGATACTTGAAACCAGGGCATTGAAAAGTGCCTTAAAATTGGAAAATGAGTGTGTCCAATGTCCTCTAAGGATTTAAGCTTTTAGATGCATTCGGTCAGCAAAAACAAATGAAACAAACCAGCCTCCAGGCTGTCTAGTAGCTGCCTGTACCATTGCTTAATTGCTACAGTGGTCTTTTGTTCAGTTTCACAATGACGCTGATCCTGCAAATACAAACATCTTGAAGAGTCTCATAATTTTCACACGATTGAAGACATTACAACCTGCATGACATGTAGTTCCTCACAGGTGTCTCATCCATTGTCTCCGGTAGCAACAGATGTTTATCTTTTGTCTGTGTTTCCAGGGCAACAACATCACCATCATGTACATCAACGTAGAGCAGCCGCAGAACGGCCGCTCCCTGGACATGTCCGTCACACTCCTGGAGGTAAGCCAATGCCATGTTGAGCTCGGAAAATATCACCGCTTAAATGTGATGCATTGCATATTGCTCGTGGCTGGTTCCCACTACAGTCTGTCTGGTTGCCATTTCCATCAAATTAAGATAGCGTTCACATCCATGCATTTAAAAAAAATTTTTTTTTTTAGTTTTGGTGATATTTATCTAGGTCACCTTTGACCTTTTTGACCTGTGTCTTGTCACCATCACTTTAGTATGAGAATTTTGGATATCACTGTTCGATGGATCATTGAGGGATTAGTATTGAGTGTTTTTAGTCCTTTTTTTTCCTCTGACAGGATAACTTTCAGTACAGTTTCTCGGCACGGACAGTGACTCGGGAAGACATGATGATGGTCCTTGCTGGCATCACGTCCATCCAGATCAGGGCACAGTATTACAACAAGATCCTAGACGCAAGGTACACAGGAGCCAGTCTTTTCATGCTGGTTGACATGGAAACACGCAAGGATCCCAATATGTCGTAACACGGAGGACCCTTAAATACATTCTGGCAAATTATGCATTCAGCAGTGCTTAGCAACGTCAGTATTCATCCCCGTATTTGAGTGGTCCCCAATGAGTCCGTAGGCACACTGGTCCTCAGAGGTTTAGTGTGTGCGGAGCCTTCAAACGTCCGTAGTCCCTTGCCCCTTGTTGTTGCAAGCATCGCATCATGACATTGTCTCAGCATTTAAAAAAAGGAACGATGTGGTAAGAAACATGGCACAGATCCTGAACAAATGACCACTTGGGTCAGCATTCTCAAGTCCAACTTGTGGTACCCTTGTCATTTCACAGTGCCGCCCCTCGACATGTTCTTTGTGGAATAAGATTGTCGACGCCATGGCATTAAGCTCATAGACAAACAAATAGAACACCTTCCCCAAAATATTTGCCAGTGACATACTGTCTGGGTTGTTTCGCTGCAGCCTGAGTGATGTTTCCCTGGACGTCACCAGGAAAGATGCAATCGGTTCCCCTGCCTACCAGGTTGAGAGGTGCAGCTGTCCCTCGGGCTATACAGGCTTGTCTTGCGAGGTAGGCCCCTCTTTTGTCACCCTGTCATCTTTTTTCAGCTGTACTATTTCCGGGCTCAGTTTGTCGTCAAGAAGCATATTGTAGAGACGGTTTTGAACAAGACTGTCTGAGAACACAACGTTATGCTTGTATTGTCGCCGTGATCACCGTGAGACCAGACACAAGACCAGTCTTGAATTTTATTGGCTGAACGGTGACAAACGCATGCGTGTGTCGCAGTTGATTTCATTAGTTTGTGACTTGATTATTAGATTGGAGATCTTTTGATGATATCTAAAGGTCTTGTGATGGCTCAAGGTTTTTGAGATAATAAAGTGGCACCTGTTTCTACATCTTACTCGGACCGGCCAGCCACCACCGGCAAGTTCGGTGGTGGAGTGGTTAAGACATCTACTCTAGTAAGCGGGAGGTCGTGGGTTCAAGTCCCACCCGAGTAAGCTTGTGAATTTGTTCCTAAGCTTTTGGACAGCACTGAGTATACAGTGTTTATGAATATACGTCGGGTAAAGGCAAAACCCCAAAAATAGAGCTATTCATTTTTATCAGTTGATGAATTTGAAGTTATTTCTTTGGTGGTTGTTCTGCCCTCAGGAGTGCGAACCTGGTTTCCGTCGTTCCGCTGGCCAGTACCTTGGTACGTGCGAACCCTGTGACTGCAACGGTCACTCCAACACCTGTGATCCTGAAAGTGGCAGATGTTACGTGAGTTTTGTCCCTGTCATACCTCGCCTAGCTTTGTTGCCTTAGGGCTCATGTGATCTCTAATTCAATCCCAACTTGCGTGAAAAAAGGTACAGCTATATACACTGACTCTTGACAGATTGATTGTTAGGGGAAACTAATAACACTTTCCTTGTTGCTCAGGATTGTCAAGACAACACGGAAGGGGACAACTGCGAACTCTGCAAAGTGGGCTATTTCGGCGACGCCACCACCGGTTCCCCCGACAGCTGTACCATCTGCTCCTGCCCTTATCCTGATGAGACCAGGAAGTAGGTTCTTTTCTTCCCCTGAAGATTGGCCAAAGAAAAAAAAAGTGGTTGCACGGTCACCAGTTTCTTAAACATCACATGTCCACTGAGACTATTAAAGTTGTGGCTTAATACGAGTTGGCAAGATTTTTTAAATTAACAAATTTTTAATGATTAGTTGCTGTTACTTTCCCACTGTGTCTGTCAGTCTTTTGGGGGAAAGCACTGTTAAGATTTTAAGAATAGCATTGTTGATGGCATTCAAGTCTTAAGCCACAGGTATTGACAGCCAAGGAGAAAAAAGAAATGGACTTAAGCCTACGAGTGTACAGTGTGAATGAATAGATCATAGATTGGGCAAGTTTTAGGTTTAACAAGTTCAGATTTTTTGTCCAAGATGGTTCGTTGTGAAATCTGTACTTTGGAACGTAGATTACAATCTACTTGTGTTCATCTGAGCCAGGTGAACTTTAAGCCAGGACATGATAGTTTCTCTGTTCCATCCTCCAAATCACTTGAGCATTCACTTTAGATGACTGCCCTGTACTTTGCTGTAGAACCCAACTACAGTGGATGACAGCAGTGCCTGCCAAGGACTGCCAAGCTATAATCATTGGAGATGCGAGTGGCCCACTCCATTAGGGTCTTTGCCGATGAGGCGCGTGGCCTTCTCTAATGCCCTATGCGTGAAAGGAACCAGTCTATCTGGCCTACTGGAGAGTCCCAATAGAGCAAGGGTGAAAGCCCTATTTCTTGAGTTTCATTCATGGGCTACAATCTGGACCTGGCTGAGCCGTAATTATTTCAAGATGGAGTATTAATAATGATGGTGCTTTTTTTAAATCAATTTTCTTTCTCAGCTACGCGTACACCTGCTCCATCGTGCCCGAGGGTATGAAATGTGAGTGCTTGCTTGGTCACGTCGGGGAGCGCTGCGATGTGTAAGTAGCAGAGCCATGTGGCTAGCCCTCTGGGATGATGCAAAGAGTAGACACATCTCACAACCAATGATTTACTAACCCTCCCCTCCTTGGTTCTTGTATCAGTGCAAGTCTGTTATGCCGTTTGTCAAATTTGTTCATTGCTAACACACAGTCTGGTTTCATAGTTAAAAGCAAACCATAATAAAGTTGTGATGTAGATTGTCAAGTTGTCATGGTAATCGGACACTGCATCATTGTGCAGCATCAGCTGTGCTGTCTCATGACATTTTGACAACCTGTGGTGAAATGTAGGACCAAGCATAGTGGTGTGTTTAGGCTTATGTGCTGTGCGTACATTCTCTATGTGATTCAGAAATATTAGAAACCTTGTGTGAGGTTATCAGTTAGGATTAGAATTTTTGAAACCATGTTAATGCTGCTGAAAATGAGATGTTGGAAAGTCTCAAATTCAAGGCTCTTGCCTAGAGCAGCAGCATGTCTCAGATTGTAGCTGTTCTCCCCGTGGAACAGGTGCGACGAGGGCTACTTCGGCGACCCCAGCCAGTCCTACGGCTTCTGCCGCAAGTGCAACTGCAGCGGCAACTCGGTGCCCAACGCCAACGGGCCGGAGTGCGACCCTCGCTTTGGCAACTGCCTGCAGTGCCGGCCGGGCACCACAGGAGTTAACTGTGACAAGTGTGACCGCTGGTATTACGGTGACGCCGTTATCTCCAGGAACTGTCAGGGTGAGTGGTGGCCTGGTTGGAGGCAGCAGTGGTCCTTCGGATTTGACCACTTTGCTTGGTTTTTGAAGGATTCAGGTCCCCAGGTCCCTGCCCCCACACCACTGTCTGTACCAACAACTTTAACAGCAGTGTAACGCAGGGTATTGGATTTTGTGAAGATCTGGCAAAATTTTCTTAGCTGCAGGTTTTGGAAGATTTGGAAGGATTGAGGAAAGTTGAACCTGTCCACCGTAACTTGGTACTCATTGAAAATAAAGGTGGAGAGAATATGGCTTTGTCTGAAACAGGCTTCCAGAGCTACGACTACATCTGTTGTCAGTGCACATCTGCGTATTTCCAATGGAGCAAAGGCCTAAACCTAGCTCTAGTCAACAGATTAAGATGCAGCCTATGCCACTGGTTTCCTGCAAAGTTTATAACTTTTGAGAAGCTAATTACAAATTGGTCAAGGGTTTCATATATTTTATGAGGAACCTCACTTCTCCCCAAAAAGAGACAAAATACCGTGGACCTCCAGCGTAGGGCTGGAAATCCTAACTTTTTGTAGAGACCATTTGGCGATTCAGGTCTCTTCTCTCTCTTTTGTCTGTTTCTTTTTAACGTGATAAGATGCAAATAATTTTCAAATAACGTAACATGAATTGCTTCATGTGTTGTTTTTTTTCACATTCTGTTGTCTCAGAATGTTTGTGTGATCGTTGTGGCAGCAGTGAGTGTGACGTCAACACGGGGCGCTGCGAATGCAAGGATAATGTCGTCGGTACCCTCTGCGACCGCTGCTCTGTGAGTTCATTCATCTGTTGCCATTCTTTAATGTCTGTTTTCGTTTATAGTAATGTCAACACTCGGAGTCAAATCTGTCACCAAAATTACGAAGAAAACCCAGCATCGGATGGAAACTTTAAGAACCCGGTTTGAGGAATCCCCAGGATTGGTTTTGTGTTTCAGAATTGTTGACTCCCAAAGTGTGGAGTTTTGTGGAATGTACAGAGCGAGGTTTGTGAATTCTCAGGACTGGCTTCACATTTTAGGATTTGTACCCCAGAATGGATTCTTAGGGGTTCAACGATTCAGGTTTTGCTATTTTGGGGACGAAATGAAAATGCAGGATTTCCATAATCACAGTCATTTGTGAGAGAACTCAAGCCTCTAAATACCTAACGGCGACCCTTCTAAGCCACAGTCTTTTATCATCACTGTTTCCACCACCTCTGCTGAATGATCTGTGGATTTTTCCCTCCGCCATCTCACCCCGAAATTAAGGGTGAGAGTCTAAGTTTAATTCGATAAACGTTTAAGGACAACTTCCCGTATACTTTTTACACATTTAAACGTTTAAACCAACGCTTCACAAAGGCTGGTTTGATTCACACGTATGCATACATAGTTCACCAACAATGCACATGACTGGCTCATTGCCTGAATGTAGTTCGATGTTAGGAAGCATCCAAACCGAGCAATTTTTCTTGTGTTGAATCTAATTTTCTCTAAACTAGGAGATGGATGCAGAAAGGAAAACTCGCTGTGTAGACAGTAAGAGTGCATTTATTTGGACTGGTTAAAAAATGAACTCCACATGACGTAAGTCAAGGTAATGTGGAAGCCTGGAAAGAAATGGGGTTCTCTTTAAGCCTTTGGGAAAACGTGGTAATCGTTTACTGAACTCTTTTCGTTTAAATGTTCAAACTTGTAAATGTCACACCATTACCCGAAATAACGAGGGTAAAAAAGTATCACTGTGCCGTTTCGGCCCCCATACATTGCTTACATTTTTTGGTTTTTTCCCCTCTCTTTCTCTTTCTGTTTTTCTGACGGTCAGCCTGGCTTCTGGAATTTCAGCAGCTGTGCAGGCTGCGACCCCTGCCAGTGTGCCCTGGCATCGGAGAGCGGCCAGTGCGACTTTGAGACGGGCCAGTGTCAGTGCAAGCCGGGGGTGGGCGGAGCCAAGTGCGATCAGTGCCTGCACGGTCACTGGAACTACGGCTTCGACGGATGCCAACGTAAGCTGTTGACCGTAGAGGCGATTTGTACTCTGTATGAAAGCGAAGAAGAAGTTGGGACATTGGACCAAATCTTTGCAAGCGAATTTTGCTGTGGATGTTTTGTAACGTCAAATATACATGTACTTTGCTTCCTCATTCCCTGGAAGTGTGAACCCGCCATGAAGTTTCATGTCATTAAAAAGAGGTGGGGCCAAACCTGGCATATAAGTGAACCTCAGTGCAAAATGTTGACTTCAAATCAAATATTTGCACTGCGCGTCTCAAAAGTTGAATTCACGTCAACTCGAGCAGGTTTCACCTCAAATGTTTCGTGTTTAATATCAAATTCACTCTGCCTTCACATTCGGCTGAATTATGGACTGACGTGCGAAACCAGTTGGATTTTTAAGTGACATTCCTGCGAACAGTTCATTCTCCGAAGATGCTTGACAAGGTAGGGTTAACTCTCTGGTATTGTCTTGATTGGAGACTGTATCAGCCCATTTTATCAACTGAGTGTGGTGGAAAAGCCCAGAGTCAACTTTCTCCCCCCCCCAAAAAAAAGGGTTGGATATACTTGGACCAGTTGAAAATATTGATGGGCCTATTATTGATTGTGTGACTCATTGCACTCAAGCCAAATGTACTCTAAAAGTTTGAGGGTTAATTTCGTTGACTCCAGCTTGTGCCTGCGAGCCCCACCTTCGCTGCGACGCGGCTACTGGTGAATGCCTCTGTCCCCCAGGTGCCACGGGAGATAATTGCGAATTCTGTGAGGACCGTTACATCATGACGGACGAGGGCTGCCAACGTAAGTTCCTGTATGGACCATGTGCTCCCTATGCAAGCCGTGCATGGTTTCATAATGAGAATACAAGTGTTTTCCCATTTGTGACTTGGTGTGAAGCCCCTGTGAGATGGTCGTGGCCCCACTTGATGGGCTTAGTCATTGTTTTAATGGTGGCTGGTGGCCCACGCCAGTGGGCATGGTCAGTAGTATGGTCAGTGCTAATTGGTGTAGTCGATAGCAAAGGATGTGGCCACTGTGGTAATGGTTGTGGCTACTGGCAAATGGGTGTGGCCACTGTATTTGGAATGTTGTCACCTAATGGGCACTGTGATTGAGCGTGCATGAGGTTGTCACACCTGTCATTCTTGACTAAGGTCTAGGCCATTTTACTTCATTCTCCAAGATATATGACTGACTTTCTTAAAATTTTGAATGAGGCTTTTGGTGTTTGATGTTTGTTATGGTGCTACCCCCGCACAGCATGCGATGAGTGCGTTTCCCTCCTGCTGGACATGATGAACGCGCTGGACTTCGACATCAACGGCGCCGTGGCCAATCTGTCCGGACTATCGGTGGGCTTTGAGACCTACCAGAGACTGAGCAACCTCAACAAGTCAGTGATCGCTGCAGTGGTAAGCTAGCGATTGGTGCTGGTGTTGGATCCAATGATCACAAGGCGCTTTAAAATGATCATACATTGATCAGGCCAAATACCAGTTGGTAGCCAGCATCATATCATGTGGTCCCACCCCTCACAGGTTCCCATGTGCAATGTTGTATTCAAGTCTCTTCTCAAGTCCCTTCACAGTAGCAGGGTGAGCATTGACAAGAGAATGGTTTTGTCACGGTTTATTTGAGTAGTTTGTGAATTGGCTGAAGACTGAATGACTTGTGATGGATTTGCAGGGACTTGTGATAGCCTGGAATACAACTCTGCCCCTGTGTGCCCCTGGGTGGTAGGGAGAGGCAAATGGGGAGGAATTGACTTGACCAAGGTCACAACATGTAGCTGGCTGCTGGATTCGAACCCCCAACATTCTGATTTGGAGTCACAAACCCTATTCCCTAAGCCACACATTGCCAAACTGCCTGTCTGCTTATCATGGTCCTCAAAAGTACCCCCCCCAAAAAAAAACACTTAAAGTTTCTGAAAGTTACTCAGTGATTTTTAAAGCCGGAGGTCTGGCTGCTTAAGAAATGTTGGTTCTAGTTTATACCCCGTGCTGCAGTCCATATTTGGCCCATTTTAGGGTTCCCTTTTTGGAAATTAATTTTAAATTCTGGCAAGCTGTTATCAACAGGAATGCCTTCGCATTATTTGGGCCCATGTTTTGTTGAGTGATCTCTCTGTGTTTCCCTGTTGCCCGTCTCAGAATCGCACCAAGAATCTTGCTGAGAACAACTTGGTGGTGTCTGACGGCATCTTGATTGTGGAGACTAACTACAGCGGCCTGCTGGACCAAGCGATCCAACTCAGGATCCGGGTGAGTACTTCACCAGGTTGTCAGTCCTGGCCTCAAACCTGAGCCTGTCCCACAAACCAAGCCAGGCTATTTGTTCCCGCGGCCTGGAACAGTCATGAAAAAGTCATGGAAAGTTGTTTTCGTTTTCGAGGGCTGGAATTCTAAGTCATGGAATTTTTGAAAAATTACTAGAGTCATGGAAAAGTTTCTGAATTTTCAAACACTGTGTGTGATTTCTGGTCTTAGAAATAAGTGCATAAAATGTGTGATTGTATTCACAACTTAAATGGCTGAATAGTCCAAGAAATTGCGTTATTGGGTCATGGATTTTCATAATTCCGTCATGGAAAAGTCATGGAATTTCATTGTCTTTTAGGTGTAGGAACCCTGCCGTACATGTAGGCATGCAGAGCCTCGAACTGGCAGCTTGCACAATCGTAACAGAATTGCTTCTTCCAATCGCATGGCATAAGAACTAAGGCAGCACGCTCAAAATTACCCGTTAAGCAACATGCACTGGAATCACTGAACCGGCTATGTTTATTGTGTAAAGCTGCCAGACAGAGGCTTTGCATGCCTATGGCAGCAGCGTGTAAAGAGCGAATGCCTAGGCCTTCCAGTCCTGTGATCTTTAATTCTGTTAGCCCTGGTCTATCTCACAACAGAGCCCCCAGACCTCGAGATGGGCTGACAGTACTTAAATCCCGCCCACCACGAATGAGTCTGTGGCTGTTGTCCTGTTCAATTCCGGCGTGCAGGCAACCTGCACAAAGGACCATTGGCCGAGGCAGTCACTGCCACACTCCTTTGTACACATTCTAGCTGGGAATTTAAGAGCCATTGGCATGATCAAAGCTGGCTATAGCTATCAATCAAATCGGTAGGAACACTGGCTCAGGACAAGTTAGTGGCTGGAGAGCCTGCTGATTAGAGCAAGAGTTCAAACACACCCAAAGGCCCTTGCTTTGCCCGAGAGTAGCCTGTCTTTTTGATGGCAAAACCAGGCTGCTGGTTCCGCTTTAGCTTCCTGAATTTGTTGCCTACCCCGCCAGTCGTCAAAACGGGAAGGTCCTGGAGAAAAGATTGCATTTTAAAATGTTGAATTTTTATGCATTACTCAACAGCACAGAACCAGTCAGAAGTCACTAGAGATATTGATTTACAGGCTCTTTCTTAGGACGGAATTTTGTGGCAGTTGAATACCCTTAATTGCATCAAAACCCATTGGTTGGGCGTATTTTATTGGAAATACATGTGTGCATCACCGAACCTTTTGTGGGGAAAAGTAAACATAGCATGAGCATTTTATCACTCTGTTGAGCTTCTGTAACAGACACAAACAGCACTGTCTCCGTTTGTCATTTCCAGTCGGACAACATCAAGCAGATGGCCAATGAGACCAAGATGGAAGCATTGGACACCGGCTACAGGGCGGTCAACGTGGAGCGCCAAATCAATGAGACCATCCAAGCAGTCTTAGGTCCGTTGGAACGGCCCCGATGCACCTTACCCACCACGGTCTTTTTGGCCGCTAACCTTCATCTTTCCCAGAGCCCAACACTCTCCCACATTAGGCAATTACAGTCTTTGAGCTCTTCCAGGAAAATTTGGAAAGAAAGAGTGAAATATACAGCACTAACTGCTGGATTTTGGTAGATTAAAGAGCTGAAGGAAACTATTAACAATAGTTTTATGTACTTTTTCACTAGATCTCTGATTTGTGGATGGGAGGCTTAGGGGAAAGATAGCAGATGGGGTTCTATGAAGTTTTATTGAAATATTTTTTTCATCTTTGTATAATCCTGTGCGTAAGTGACATCTAGATCTCAGATTTTTACGACGTGCATCTGGGTTCTCAACAAAGACGTTGACAAATTGAAGAGCGTGTGTTGCACACTGGTGCAGTAATCCTGAAGTTCCAGGTTCACCCCCGGTCATGCCCAGTTTTTTTTTTTGCTGTACTTCCAGACGCTGTCAAGGCCCTGTACAACAACTCCAACATTCCTGAGAACGCCAACATATCCGACATATCTGGCATTCTGGCTGAAGCGCGAATGATCGTGGCCGAAATCGCTGCCCGGAATTTCTCAGCGGGTCGGAAATCCTCGGACCAGGAGCTTGCGGCCGCAAGGGATGGTGAGAATTCTTGGCAATTAGAAATCTCTCTTTGAACAATCGGACACAAATCACACTCTTTCTGTTAGCAACAAAGCAACATGTGTACATAGTGCACGGAACGCAGACAACTTTAATTGATACCTCAAAAGGTACCGAGACACTGTAGCTTAGAAGCTTGAAAAAAATCGTAAAGAGAGGACAATGAAGAAAAGAAATCACTTTCAGAGAATGTTTTTCACAGAAAACGATCATGCCGAGCACTGTTGTGAAGGCATTGATGTTGGAAAACTACCAACATAAACAGATAGCAGTGCGTTATTGTTACAATATTTTTTACGTATGCTTACATTTTATTTGCCAAACTCAGTGATTTTTTTATTCCACATTATATCCAAAAAGGGAAATTGCAGAGGTGCCAGTCTGTTACCATGGTAACACATACGTGTAGTCTAAATACCTGATCCTTTCGAAATGCAAATTTAAAAGAGATTCCTGAAAGAGAGACACTTTAGATTAGGTCCGAACTGACTACCACCAGGACAAAACAGGATATGTTGGGCAAGAGCATTCAGATATGTCTGTCCATTACCCACGAAATTACCCGGAAGTGATGAAAACTAGAATAGGTTTCAGGAAAATCCACAAAGATCAGGTGAGAGCATTGATAACCTAAGTCATGAAGACCTGGAGGGGATTCGAATCTTGGCCAGAGTGGTGAAAGGAGCAGAAAAGTGCTGTTGTGCCAACCTGATTGTACTTCATTTTACTTTGCCACCCCCTTTCCTTGGCCGTGTCCCAGTGCTTGAGAGGGTGAAGCAGCTTCGCAACGTCTCCCTGGAGCTGATGGGCCATGTCCGGAACGTCTCAGATCACATGCAGGGCTTTCTGGACCAGTTGCAGAAGCTGATCGACACCAGCAGAATGGCCAATAACCACTCCACTGCGGCCGAGAATCTCAATGCCGGGAACCAGGAGCCGGCCTTTGAGGTACGTGAAGAGTGGCGTATGGGGAATACAGTGGAGGCTGGGAACCGGCTTGGACTTTAGACAGGGCTCCTCATGAAAGGGCGGGGTTTTCTTTTATTTGATACTCGCGTCACTTGATAGCTCTGACAAAACCGTGTCATTGATGCCAAGTCTTGTTCACTTACCAGATATGTGGAAATTATGGCCAAATTGGGTATGGAGTGGAATACGCTATTGACAAAAGTCGATTATTGCAATATATTGTGTTTTCTTAGAAAGGACAGTTACTGTCAGCTGAAAGCTTAGGAGATTGGTTTTTGACATTCACCTTCCGGGAGGGATGTGATTTCCCAAATTATTAAACAGTTACTGATGATTTTGTTGGACCATACAATCCTTGTGGCTTGACTGCATCGCCCCATCATTCACCTCAGTGAAAGACCTCGTGTTAATACTGCATGAGCATTCCCACGGTGGCGGGTGGCCACACACCTCATTGAAGACTAAGCTGAGCTTTTGATGAGCAAAGGAGAATCCTGCAAATCCACCATTTTGGAGATTTATCTGATTTTGTCAGTGAATCTTGCAGTGTCATTGGTCTTGAGGATATTCAGTGGTACATCCTGCTGAGTGGTAAAAAACAGGTGACAACCAAAGGGTACAAGGGTTTAAAGGAACCAGGAAATAAAAATATTTTTATAACGTTTACTAAAAAACCCTTGAAATTGCACCTTTGGGTTTCAATTTTTTTTGTTTTATGCTAATACTATTTGCATATTCATGAGCAGAACTATAATGTCATCCAAGGCACTGAATCTCAATGTTGCACTGATTTGTGCACAGAAAATTTCTAGATTTTTTTTAACCACTGCCATGGCAGATTTCATTTTCTTTGGCAATTTATTGCTGTGTAAGTATATGGCAATAATCCAGCATAAATCCTTTTCACAGAAATGTTAATATCAAAGTTGGGATTCACAATTTGAACATGAAAACATGCAACCTGAACCATGTCTTCCTGGATTTAGATCAAAGCAAAAACGCCCTCACTTGTCCAGAAATGCTTGGTCAATTTTTAATGTTTGAAAAAGTGCACCGTTCAGTTCCCGTAACTCAAAAAAGATGTCCAACAGTCTTCATACATGGAAGAAGAGTACAGAGATACACAAAAGGTGATTCTAAGAGAAATTCATTTCCTGGATCCTTTAACATTGTCAAGACCTTGAATTCTGCCCGAGCATCCTTGATATTTGGAGGGATGGTCAGGTGCTTTGATTCATGTCTCTTTTTCCCCATTCTTTCTCGTAAGGCCGTCATCCTGGAGGTCGATGCTAAATTCAAGGGAGCCACCGAGGACGTTGACAACGCCACTGCGCTGATCATGGCAGCCATGCAGCTCCTGGAGGAAGCCCAGAACGCCTTGGATGTGAGTCCCAAGAAGAGCTAAACTTGAAACATTGGAGGGCTTGACATTTGGATCCTAGTCAGAAGTTAGAGGGGCAAGATGTCGTGATCATGTTGTGTGCAGTTCAGGGAAAATTTCACGCACTTTTTGTGTACCTCCTTGTTCAAGTCGGACATTTTTTGCTTGTATGATCGATGTTCCTAAAAAGAAATCAGTGTATCTTGGGTCGTTCGAAGAGTCTGTCTGAAATTTTAACTTCCCCTGGTTCATGTTAGAGGCACTAATTCTAAAATATTTATCACACGCAACTTGCGTGTGATAAATTGCTGACTTCACCATGCATACCGTCGAACTTCATCAGAAGGGTTCGAATATTTTTTTTTTTTCCCCGCCCTCCTCTTGTCCCTCCAGGCCACTCAGGCCAACGCTACGGCCCTGGAAGAGGCCATCCGCAGACTGGAGCCCCGGGTAAACTTTGTGGTCAACAAGTCGGACTCAGTGGACGGCATCGTGGAGGAGGCCATGCAGCACGCGGCTGACCTGAAGAACCAGTCCGACTACCTCAGCGGGTACATAACTCAAATGAGGAAATTTTACTCAGCCAATGCTGGCGTTGGGACTGGCTGGGGATGGACACTACCCAGTGGCTGCCATAGACGCCTGTGTTTTTCTTAGCCCTAGCCAGTTTGACTTCAGACACCACCTTGACAGTCATTATTACCCCTTTCACCTCACTGTGAGACCAAGTCTGGTACCCGACGTCAGCACAGTTATCTTTGTATACTCCTGAGGGGGAAGAGAGGCAAATGTGGGGTAAGGTAACTTGCCCAACATGCAACTAGCTGTCGTCAATTTTGTACCCCGGCCTTGTGATTATGGTCACAAGGCCTAACCACCAGTCCCAGAAGGCAAAAAAAAAAAGGTAGTCTTGATTTGACAAGGAAAGCATTTTTTGTACCATTTGTGTTATGTTTTTCCTGATCGCTTTTTTGCTCTGTTTGGTCATTAGCCTGTTGGTCGGCACTTTGGAACTGTCGGAGAATGCTATCAGAGCAGTCAATGCGTATGGAGAGATCGTCGACGCCATCGACGCAGCCGAAAAAGCCGCCATGGATGCCCTGAACGCTAGCAGCAAGGCAGAGGAGCAGGTAAATGGGTGGAGCTTGGTGCCTTTCCTACCCCCCCCTATTACGCCATCCACACTGGGGATTGGTTTTGCTGTCTATGAGCACTCACAGCTAAACCTCGTAGGTCTTATATTTCCAAGATTCCATATCTTTCATTTTGCTCCACTCTTGATTCCACCATGCATCTTTCCTTGCCGAGCGTTACAGTTCATTCTTATTAAAAACCTGAAGGAAAATAGATCGGATCAAAAAAGAGGCTGTCGGGGTTCTGAAATATTTGTCCTTCAAGTTTTGTCCATTTTTAATACTTTTCCTTTTCTCTCGATTCCCATCCCATGCAGGCGAACAGCTTTGGCAACAGCCCAGCCGAAGAACTGAAGCAGAGCAGGCGTCTCAACAGAAAGGCAGCCACTGCCAATGAGGCGCTGGCAGGTAAAACAAACAAACAAGAGGACTGTCTCTCCACTCGATGTATTAATTGTCGACCACAAGATGGCGCTATTACATCCTCTCGGGCAAAGTGTGAGCTAAGCAGTGGCTATGTTGGGACGCCACAGGGTTGTAGCTGGTGACAGTTTTGCCAAGAGACGTGCACAAGTTTCACAGGAGTAAAATCGAACTTCCAAAATGACTTTTTGCAGTGTGATGTATTTCATAGTAGAATGTGTGTCTTTTAGTATTCAAATTTCTCAGAATATCTTCAGTAAAACTAAAGTTTAAAACAGATTTGGAATGCTCAAATATGGAGTATTTGAAAATTACTTGACATATTCTGATGTTATCTTTCGCAAAAGTTGCAGTACAAGGCCATTGGAGTTTACAGCATGCACTTCCCTATTAGTATTAGTACTGATTTTAATTATTTTTTTCTCTCATTCGTTGAAACTGTTGCAGATCTGGATGAAAAATTGGGGGAGGTGGGCCAGAGTGTGGATCAGGTCCGAGACCGTCTGGACAACGCGGACGGTCGCCTGGCCGCCATCCGCCGCGGCATGGCCAACATTCCTGACGACGGCAGCATGTGCACCATCACGGTGTGCCAGGAAGGAGAGGTTGACTGTAAGCCTGGCTTTGCCGGCGAGAACTGCGACACCAGTAAGTCGCTACGAGTTGTTGGGCCCCCTCATAGGACTGTAGTGGTCAGATGATCTACACCCAGTTCTTAAGGCGCTAGGTTTCTTTACACAACACCTGAATCAACACTCGTTATCTAATTGGTGGGTCGTCGATCATATGTCACAAATGATTCAATCTGACTGACTGGTGATTAGACTGGTGACTGGACCTACATGTATTGCATATACTCTTATGCATGCACACACAAAAGTATTTTTGGAAAAGGTGAAAATGGAAGTGTTGAAAAAAGGGGTCGTTTGAAATTGTAATAGAGAGATGCAGAGAAGTTCAATATACTTATTTATGCATGCAACAATTTATGCGCGCAACGAGTACCATTTTATTCAATTTATTTAAAACAAATATCACCCAACTCCCTTTGCTGTGGTTTATTGTTCAACCTGTGGAACATTGAGTCAGTATCAAAAAAGTGGGGAAAATGTATTCTTCCCTTCCAGTTGGATTTCCGGTGTTCATGCAAATGCAAGAAGCAAAGTCTATTTATCTTGGCCTCAGTACAAGAAGTTGGAGAGCAATTTTTTTTTTTTTTCTTTAGGTGTGGCAGCTTCACTAGATTGGGTCCTGTTAGGACGCATCTCCCCATTCAAGGAAATGATTTATGTTTTTCCTTTCCGACAGGTAAGCTTAGTGACAAAGCACAGGAGGCCGTGGACACAGCCATGGAGGCCAATGCCAAGGCCACTCAAGCCACCGACACCATCGCCGACGTCCAGGGCCAGCTGCCTGAGCTTCGGGCCAAGTTTGACAAGATCCCCACCGATGTCGATGCAGCCATCCAGACTGGAAATATTGCCGATGATGCCAGTAAGTCGGTGCATAGTTGCGATGTCTTGAGACCAGAACCGGTCTGGTTCCAATGTCGGCCGTGAAGCAATCTCTCCTCAGGAATAATGGATGCGCATGGGAATTATCAGTTGTCCAACTTCACCATTTTCCAAATGATTTGTGTGACTCTGCACACAGCAGCCAACCTTCTCTGAAAACTCTCCCTGTGGAAATATTTTTGCCAGCAAGATCTTCAACAAATTTGATGTCGAGCAATCTCTGCGGTGAATTTTGTGAAAGTTGAAAGGCGTTAACCTTTTTCGATTTGCAGATCACATTTTCATTCGCTGTCACGGCTGAGCATGGACCAGCCTTTGGCAGCGTGTTTTCTGTGTCTGATCTTGGCTCTTGCGTGCCTCTTGCAGGTAACCGAGCCAGGGTGGGCGTGAGGGACATCAGCAACCTGGACCGGGAGCTGACCGCCATGCACGCCAACATCCAGAACCTGACCCTGGGCCTGCAGTACAACCTGGACGAGATCAAGAGAAAGATCGCCAGCGCCCGTACCCTCGCTGACGGAGTAAGTTCACGGTCCAAAAAAGAATAAAGAGCACGGACACAATGCTTGAGTCATCGATGGCACTTCGTTGTCTCTTCACATGAGTTGACCAAGGAGACATTGCAGATATGAACACCAATACAAACAAATTTTCAACTTCTATCCATTCATGAAATTTTTGTTTGATTTTGCTGTTGCTAATATAATAGCATGGCTCATTGCTCTCCAAAAGCTCTTAGAAATATTCCAACCTGTAACCTCCTAACTAGTGCATACATCTCAACCACTCGACCCCCTTAGTTCATTGTGGTCAAAAGGCCCGTTTGAATCCAGTACGGTGACAGGTACTGCCGGATTCTTGTACCGCCTGTTGTCGGAAGGCCCCTTCTCCGTCAATTCTTGCTGTATATACCCACTTGAGATGGACCTGGACTGGTCTTTCCAAACAGTATCTAGTTTTACCCTGGTCCGTCCAAGAATAGGTCGGCAGCTTTCCACCTTTAGAACAGACTCCCACATGGGCGCTGCGTCAGGCTGCGTTCAGTAATCTTAAACTTGGATGTGCGTAAAAAGGAGCCAGGTACCTAGAATTTTATTGTCGGGTATAATCAGGTGTCTGATTATCTATCTCAGCCCTACTTTGTATGGGATAAGGGAGCGTTTCATAATTGTTGGAGGCAGTATTTACTGCGGTACCACTGTTTTTTTTAGCGGCACCACACTATTTACCCGAAAGGGCTTAATGCTGGTATCGCAAAAATACAGGGGTACCGCAGTAAATACCGCCTTCTGTAGTTATGAAACGTTCCCTAACTCGTCTTGCCCAGTCCTCGTTATAATCCCTCTTTGTTTTTCTCCCTTCTCCCTCCCATCTGCACCCAGGTGAAAGTGGCCATGAAGTTCAAGCCAGACTCCTCCGTCCAGCTGCGTTCCCTGGCTCCCGAGGCCTTGGAAGGCCAGGCCGCTTACACGTCCACCTCCTTGTTCTTCAGGACGCAGGAGCCCAATGCCTTGCTCTTCTTCATGGGAGGCCCAACGGCACAGGTGAGAATGTTGCTTTCCCTCCCACATTTGAGGGAGTGAGCTTGCAGCCTGAACCTTTTTCCTCGTGGCTGGGTATAATTTGAAATTTTCCTGTGGAATTCCCACATTGCTGCTTGATAAAGCTAGTTGCGGGGAAGCTGTCCAAAAATAATCCAAATTGATTATGAGTTCTTTGAAAATCGTTGAGTGTACCAATGCATTCATGAGTCCATTGTTGGCATAATGGCGTGGAATTAATTAATGAAAGAACTTGCAGATGCGCAGCTGTGTGGTCACATTTTGCTCACTATTTAATGTTTGTGGTTTGGGGGATTTGTTTTGGCAGGACGACTATTACTCCTTGGGTATCGAGGATTCCAACGTGGTCCTCCGTTACAACTTGGGCGATGGGGATTACGTAGTACCTGTGGCCAAGGACGTTAATGACTACAGGTGGCACCAGGTCATCGGTGAACGGTAAGGCACAGTGGAGTCACTGTCCTTGATCACTTTTAAAGTGACTTTCCCCAATGGCAAAACACATAACCAGCAACTGCGTTCCGACCCACTTTGCTCGGGAGTTACCAGGCCTAAAACTCGAGGGATTTGAGGTGGAGCTTTTCACGGTCATTTATTTCCCCCCAGCACTGGCAAATATGCAAAGGTCACCGTCAAGGGACTTGGACAGGATGACGTGGTTCAGTACGGGGATTCCAGCAGGGATCTGACCATCCTGGACCTCAGCCCCGACTCACAGATCTTCGTCGGGGGCATCCCACCGGGCGTCCAGGTAAGGTTTAGGGTGGCGGCAGTTGCTATTTGAACAAAGAGCATAAGTGAACTTCAGTTTCTACTCCAATGAAAGCAGAAGGATGCTTTTGTTATGAACTATTAAACTCTTTCAATATGTTCAGCAATATCATCCACATAGAAGAGGTGTTTTTGTTTTGTCAAATTTGATGGGTCTTTTTTGTTTTTTTGTCAAATTTGATGTCCTTTTGTCTGTGCTATTTATCAGTGGCTGCCAGCAGCGTTACCCAGCCGTGTCTTCAACAGTGGCGGTATTGACGAGGTGCTGGTGAACGGCCAGCCGCTGAGCCTCTGGAACTTTGCAGATGCCATCAACGCCGATGAAGGAATCCTCAGGTGAGGACATAAGGCTCGTGGATCGAGCAAGAGTGTCATGGGGGGAGGAGTGAGTTTTGGGAAGTTCCAGGAAGTTCCAGGAAGTTCCAGGAAACAGCTGGTGGCTAGAAGAAATCACGAATGGATCTGGACAATTAAGCGGAATCTTTTGAAAATTTGAGAGATTGATGGTGAGGGAAAAATTTCAGTCAGGTTCTGGTATAGTTTCAGGGCTCTTGTTGGAAAAAAGGAATTTGCAAGAAACTTTATAATACAGATGACTGGACGTACACAAATGGAATTTCAAATGATTTCAAATTTCAGAAATGGTCAGTTGAAGAATATTGCACCGTTTAAACAAAGTTTGAAAAATCACACTGCCAGTCTACAATTGGTAAAGTTTTTTTTTTACTATCGTCTTCCCCGCCTGTGTTCCAGGAATGACACCATTGATATTCCAGTGGATCCAGACACGGAGGGCATCATGTTCAATGGAAGCGGCTACATCGTGCTGCCCAACCGAAACTTCAACCCCAGGTTCACCGACATGAGTATCACCTTCCGGACCTACGCTGCCAACGGTCTGCTGTTATTCATGGGCGATCAGGTGGGCCTCTTTATCCCTGTCCTCCCCTTCCCCACCTCTACTTTCCCCCTCTCCCCGACAAAAGTACCAAAGCTGGAAGAGGACTGGCTTCAGCCCCCCCCCAACTGTTCCAGATACCCCAGAATTATTTGGGGGAGGTATTTGGGAGCGTTTTAAAGGATTGATTATGGTAGACTTTAGCCACCGTAACTTTATGTAGGGATTGAGTTGTGAGAGCAAAGTTTGTGCATACCACACATAGTCTATTCACCATGCAGCTGCTGGTTCAATGGGGCCTGCTGATGGACAAAGCGTTCCATTCAGGGCATACCACAGCCCAGCAGTCACGGTCAAAAGAATTACCGGCGTGAAAGGGTTAACCATCACGGAGAGACTCACAGACTGAATGCGTCTGTTTTCTGCCGCAGGGCAAATATTTTGCCGTAGAGCTGAGCGGAGGTCGCGTGCAGTTCCAATTCGACCTTGGGACTGGTTCCCAAACCCTGGTCACAAACAACAGGTACAACAACGGGGAGCAGACCAGGGTGCACGTTAACCTAGTCGGCAACACAGGTCGCCTGCGGGTGACACCCGCGAACGGGTAAGCACTGGCCCTGTTCCGGGAGTTTCTGAAATTGCGAGAAATTTTAATATGTAAATTACCGAGGGTCCTTGGGCGTTGCTGGAATTGTAAGGGTCATCCCATTGAATTTATTTATGTTATTTATTCCATTTCTTTAATACCCAGGGTGTGTTCAAATAGTTAAAAACTGGTTTCCATTGGGGCCTTGCATATTTCAAACAATTAAGTAATGGTATACTCACATCACAAGATTATTACTTTGTTTGAACATACAATGAACACTGAAACAAAATAAACATATACATCATAGAATAAGCAAATGAACACGGCACTATTATAATTTTAATGCTTGTGTTGTTCAAATGAACTTAGAACAGTGCAAAAAACCACCTTATTATTTTATTTTTTTCTCCGTTTCAAGAACTGGTTTATTCACGCTGGTTTACCCTTATGTATGAAAACAAGATCGCCTGAGACAGACTACCAATTCCCCTATTTATTGTGTTCCCACTGCGTTCAGTGTTCAAGAGGAAACATCAGGAAGCTCTCCGGGTAGCGGTGACCGACTGGCTGCTGGAAACATCTACGTCGGCGGCTTGGTGGGAATCCCAGACAATCTCTATCCGTAAGTTTTGAGTTTTTTCGCCGGACTCTTGAATTTTTGGAGGGGGAGGGGGCTGTGGCAGGGCTTAGGAGCCTTCTGCGGATTAAGCCAGGTCTCTGCGAGATGACCCCTGCTGCGGAAGGCAGTTTCAGAGACATTTTGGGGCTAGGGTTGTCTGTCACAAAAGGAAGAGCAAAAGAGTGTTCACAGTACCAAAAATAAAACGTGTATTTTCACCATTTTTTGTTAACTGCATGAAAAGAGAGAATTGTCCACAGCTATGTAAGCAGGGATGTATTTAGGGGGGCACGTAGACACCCCCCTCGCCTGCTTAAGGCCTGCCCTCCCCCATGTGCCCCCTTGCCCAGATATTAGAGAAGGAAAAAAATCTGGTGATAGTGACTCGGTCATTGTTTCAAGAGTGACCAATCCCATCGAGTGCCCCTTCCACAATATGAGGGTCCCCCAACTCCCCTCTCCCCCGCAAAACATGCCCCAGCTATGCCACTGTAAGGTAAACAGGTGTAGGTGTAGATTTGTTGGGGTTGTTTGAGCCTGGTGTTGCATTTAAAGCCTGACCGAGGTAAAGTTACATTCTGCCCAACACTCTGTCCCCAAGGTCGGTAAGCCGCATCGGTTTCCGAGGCTGCCTGCGGGAGTTGTCTGTTGGAGGCCTGCAGATCGACCCCTTACAGAACATTGAGAGCTCTGGCGTTCACCCGATCTGTGTGGCCGAGGTGAGTGTCTTAAGCATCATTGCAGTACATTTAAAACCGCAACAGTGCTTGATTCACACAAGGCCCAGGCCTGGCCTGGATTTTCAGTGGCAAAGCCGAGCGTCTAGTTCTGGTTTACTCCCAAAATCAATTTGTGATCTATCCCATCAAAGCAAAAAGATCAAGTGTCATACCTCATGATGCTGTAGGATGCAGATAATTTTGTAACTTCGTGTAAGATCCAGCAGAACACTTGTATACCGTGACTGCAGCCTTTCACGATTACGCTTGACTTGTGTGGGATTTGTCCCGTGATTTGAGTTGGACTTCCCACAAACTCTACTGCTACGCTAGCTAAAACCGGCCTCCAGTATTTTGTGTGAGCCCAGAGATGCCCCAGTTTTAATGCTATCCTTGTCTTTTCTCCCACAATGCATTGCCAGAGAGTTAGCCTGGTCTCGTTCAACGGTCCCTACGGCGGTTATGTGTCGCGGGCCCCATTCGACATCACTACCGACTTGGGCATTATATTTAGATTCCGCACTATGCAGCCAGATGGTGTCATGGTGTACACTGCCAATGCCGACAAGGTAGGTGCTCTTGTAAAAAGTGTTAACAGGGACTCTGCAATCATTTCTCAAAACTTCAGCCTTTGTGTAGACCTCGAGAGTTCCAGCTGGTTTCCAGACTTTGGACCAGCATTGGAACATGGGATGATTTTTTTCAGAGCCACCACACTGATGGAAAAGCCATATGGTCTGATGGGGCTAGGGCTCGTCTGTGTATGGTTACAAGGTGAAGGACGAAGCCTGCACTGGGATCGGGTCTCTGCCACGGATAGACCCTTGGAGGGAGGGTTTGTCAGATTAAATGCCTTTCGAGGACCACTGCACATAGAATTGCGAGAAGGAAGGGGAAAAGCAAGAACAGGTGCTTATTAACCCCGACTTGAGATGCCCCTCTCAAACCAAACCTGGGTCTGCCCCTGTCTGGCTTTTGGAGAGTGTTTCTTGGAAATGCTTTGACCCTTCAAATAAGTTGGGGGACCCTGATTTTAAATTGGATTCCAACCGAGTGGCATCCGTTCTTAATTTGATAATCGAAATAATTAGTGAATTGCTGGGTTTTTTCTTTCTTTTTTTCAGTCTCAGTTTCTTGCTGTCATGATGGTGTCGGGTGCTGTGCATGTCATGGGCGACTGCGGAGACGACACAGCTGAGGTTGTCTCCCTGCAAAATACGTACAATGACGGCGAGTGGCACACGGTCTCTGTAACCAAGAGAGTCAAAAAGTGAGCTTTGAATGATCTTTTTTTTTATCATTTGGGATCTGATCCTGGCTAGAATCGTGACTCTTGACTGAACATGAGTTGATTGGTGAAAGAAAAAAATTTAAATTGCCAAACCATCGCTTTTAAAGTAGCTCTTTGATGCCTGAGATACTGTAGACCTTGTACAACATGCTGCCTCCAGGACCCATCTGAGGTAATGAATATTCCAGCTAGGGTTATTTTGTCAATTTTTTCTTCTCATACAAGGCTCACCTTAGTGGTGGACGATGAGGGCTTTGGAAACTTCAACCGTTTCCAGAAGAAGACGATACGGACGGACAGCTTCCTCTTGGTGGGGGGCTTCCCCAGGGACGATTTCATCGAGCCGGCCATCCTGCCCACAATGGACAACTTCATCGGCTGCATAGCTGACCTCTCCTTCGGGGTGGAGTGAGTTGGACCTGCTTTTACGATTGTTTTCACTGAATACTATGAACTTTATCCAGGAAAACCTGTGTATAGCTTTCCATTTCCAGATTGTTTGCTTGATACTGTTTTTATTTAGAAGTTGCTGTTTTCTGGTGGTGCTGGGTTGCCTGCATCTCTTCTTGGCTTCAGCATTGATTTGATGGCCACCCACACATAAACCACAAACTCTATTTTTTTTGGTCATTTAGTAAAGGGGTGAGTTTCAGCGATCAGATCATCTCGGACAACAACGCCAACCTAAACGCCTGCCCGGTAGGCTCCACCCTGCCCACCGTCCCCTCTCTCAACACAACCGGGCCTGACCGAGGCCCGGCTGCGCCCACAACCTCCCCGTCACCTGTGACCACGCCCACCGAGGCAGTAGGCACCTGCAAGCTGCCGAGGGTGGCCGGAGCGGGCGAGCAGCTCCCCGAGGACGAGGGAGCCGACCAGTATGGCATCACCACCCACAGCCGGAAAGAGTACCCCATCCTGGATTCGGCCTTCAAACGGAAGTGAGTCACAGTTGCCATGGCAGCATCCTCCCCACTTTTTCGTGCCATTTTATATTAGGAGACAGTAGCACTGTCACTCTTTAGAGCTTTGATGAGGGACGAACTGCCTATGATATTTTGTGTATTACTCTGCACACTTATGGCCAGACAGTTTGAGGCCGATTCCCATCAAAGTGAACCATGGCGCATTCATTTTGGCTTGGAGAAAGAGCAGCACCGCTACTGAAGGACCTATCTCGTATATCCTGGTCACTGTTAACGGAGGATGCCTCTGAATTTAAACCAAGAGAGCTGGACCTGCCTGAGGAAAGGCTTGCCCTGCTGCACATGATTCTGCCCACTGTTGTGTAACCTGATTGATTGGACTTAGAATAAACCACGCGCAATCAGACAAGTCTTATCTTGGTTTTTATAAGAATTAAAGCGGTACTTTTTTGTAACTGAAATCCTGTTCTGGAATGTAAGACTCGCAACGGAAGGAGCAGGCTTTGTTTAACTTCAAATTTTGTGGGCAGAGTGTTGATACGTTTCAAGTAAACCCGCCATTGATATCCCTGTTTTCATCTCGTTCCCTCCCCCTCCCCCCAAAAACCCAATCTGACAACAGCATGGTCATGCAGGTGGAGCTGAAGACTGTTGCCCGCAACGGCCTGATCATGTACACCTCTGACACCCGCCGCATCGACTTCACTGCTGCCTACCTGCGGGACGGCAAAGTGGTCTTTGGCTGGGACTACGGCAGCGGGCCTAAGCTGATTGAGTCCCCCGATCCTGTCAACGACGGCAGATGGCACACAGTGAGTCCACTTACAGCCCACCAAGAGAGTGAAGGGTTTTTTCAACATGACTAGGGCAGATACATACCTGATGGGAACTGTCCCGTTAAGTTTTCAAATCACAAAAAAAAGAATGTTCCAAGAATCAGTCTTCCAGTCAAAATATCGATCAACTTTTCTCCACAATATGGCATTAAATGTCACATAAAAAGTCACATTGTAGCCCTGGAAAGTCCTGGGAAAGCCAAGGAATTGGGTTTTCCAGTTTCTGTTGGAACCCTGACTTCTATTCCCTGCCTCATACTGTCACGCTTTTTTTCTGTCTTTTGCGGCCAGGTTGTCATGAAGCGAGAGGGCGCCCTGGGTGAACTGACCATTGACGGCCAGTTAGTCAAGAAGGACGAGATAGCCGGCAGCAACCGCTTCCTGAGGTCCACCATCCCTGTCTACTTTGGCGGGGTGGACCCTGCGGTCATCGATACCATCAAGGACAACCAAGTCCATGTGAGTGTGCCATCATTTGTGTCACAAGTGCGCATGAGATCCGGCTTCAGCAGATTTGGACAGGCAGTCTCTGCTTGAAGTTTACAAGTCCCCAGTTTTTTACGTAAATCTTCAACACTGGTGAATAAGTCCTTGAATCTCCTTCCAAAGGAAGGGGGGTGTGGAAGCACGGCCTTAGATAGCAACAAGGGGCGTCAGTTTCAAAACTTTTCCTTGGATTCAGACAGGCAGTTATGAAACTCAGCTGGGAAGGGACAAGCAGATGTTTCAGTTCTAGATCAAACCCTGCTCTCTCACCACCCAAGGGATAGAAATAATCAATGCTTGCGAGACATTTTTGAGTGCATCGCTCGCAATGACAAATTTTCTTTCCTCCTCGTCTGATGGTAGCCTCTATCTCGGACGAGCTTCGTGGGATGCCTGCGCGGTTTCATGCTAGGACAGGAGGCGGCCGACGCGCCCATCGGCCCAGCCGACAGGACTGTGGATGTCCAGCCCTGCACAGGAATCATTGAGCCGGGCGTGTTCTTCGGCAACGAAGGGGGCTACCTCGAGCAGAGTGAGTGAAATTCCAGAGTTTGAGACCCTTCCATCAAGCCCTCCTTACGACTACCAAATGGAGAAAAAAAGAGACTGGGTATATTCAGTACCCAGAGTTAAGTCATCGCAAGCCTCTAAATGGTCAGTTGGAAGCATTTGGCGTCCCTGCCATTTCTGCACTTGCTGCCTCACTTAGGATTTGACCAGGTTTCACCTAAGCAATGTGTAAACGGAAAGAAACCAATCCTCCCACGGACTCAGTTTGACGTCAAATCCCCCGTCATCAGTTTATCACCACCGGTGTAGTGCATGGGAGCCTTTTAAAAACATTTTTATGCTAATGTGGTTACTGTGTTCACAAGTGGCCCTGTGATGTCATGCAAGAAGTTCCATTGTCAATCGGTGTCAGTTGAATTTACACCAGTCTGTGAGGAGTCAAGTCCAAGTAGGCATTTCAAACCTTTCAGGCTACACCTGCGATCAAAATCGTGAGTTGCTTGGCGATCTCAAGCACACCACTTTTTTTTTTTGTAGCCGTCAAATCAGTAGTTCCCATAAGCAGTTTAACACAGTTCATAAAAAAAGCCATTCTCTTGACCCCTAGCTTTTTCTGCGCTGTCTCTTCCCACAGTCTCGGCATACTCCATCGGCAGCAACTTTGAGATGCGCATATCCATCAAGCCGCGGGTCTCCACAGCCGTTCTGATGTCCGTCCAAGGCTCTCGTGGTGACTTCCTGTCCCTTGAGATGGTGGACGGAGTGGTGAGTTCAGAAGAAAAGAAAAAGAAAGTAGTCGTCCATGACAAGTACCTCTGGTGCTTCCAATCTTGAAATCTTTATCTTCTATACACTCGCACAACCTATTCGATCAATACTCTACGATTTCAGGGGCCACGACTATGGAATAGTATCAGCACGACCCTGAAAACACAATCGTCTGTGGGCCGCTTCAAAACCTGATACAAAAATAGTCTTATCTCCAGTTATTTAGCATAATTCCCCTCTCCGTTTCATTACTTGCATATCACCATTTTTGATTCCATTGTATGTATTATTGCCTTGTATAAATTATTATCGTCCGTTGTTTTCGGTCCGTCGTTCTTCGTTTCTTGTCTTATTTGTTAGTCCTGTGACCTGTTGTCTGTCTGTCTTCTCTCAAGGCATTTCAGTACAAGCCCCCGGCTTTTGTTTATGCCTCTGTAGTGCATAATGTCATCTTAGTTATTATCGTATTTATTTGTTTCTTTTCATATCCATGATTAATTGCACACATTCATATAAACTGATTGTTACATTGCACTATCGAAATAAATGTTAATTGAAATTAATCAGCTAGAAGAGACCGTTTTCAACGATGCACCGGCCAAAGCTGTATCTTTACATGAGCAAAGTTATGAGTGGCTTTAACCGGGGACCATCTCCCAGCCTGAAACTTGATGTGCTGTGCAGATGCTTATCATATAGAGTTTAAATTCAATCTGACGTAGGTTTTTTGATGTTCCATGTCATTTGAAGTTAATGGCCTTGCATGTATTGCTTAGGATGTCAGTGGGAAAAGTATGCATCCACGGCTGAGCTGTCTTGGAAAATGGATGTTGCCAGCGAATGGCACGCATAAATTTTACAAAACTGTTGCCAAAATGACCGTGAGATGTCGCTAAAAGCTCCCAAGATGTAGTCCACATAGAAATGCGCTGCAGTGGTATTGGAGAAACTATTTGGAGGGGGGAGGGGCAGATCCCCCAGCTCATTCAGGGTTAAGCTGTTCTTAACAAAGCCTTAGCCACTCAAAAGCCCCAATTTAGGCTCGGCCTGGTATGCACTTGGCATCGCTGGTCTTATTTTTTGCCTTGTTCTAATCTTCTTGAAGCTGTATCTGCGCTGTGAGAATGGTGGTGGTATCATCGAGGCTATCTACGCTCCCCCAGAGGGTGCCTTCTTCCTGTGCGATGGCAACTGGCACGACATCCTAGGTACTCATCAGAAAAATTATTCGGCAGAATTTCCTTGACTTGCCAAAAGACATCAACGAGTTTAGTTCTTTGAGATTAGCTGTTTAGAACTGTTTTCACAGACTACCAGACTCGGAACTCCTCTATTTACGAGTATATAAGTCATGCTGAGAGTGGTCGGTCATTAGCTAGGCACGGGGCCTCCCTCGAAATTGGAGGTTGTGTCAGAGGGTATCAAGGGGTTGTTGAGTTGTTCATGCCCGAAGATTTCTGATGACATCTTGACATGTCTCAGCCTTGGTGTAATGTCTGAATATACAGCACTTTGCCCCAGTGTATTCGTGTTGTAGTTCTACTTGTGACTATTAGCACAAAATGTTGCTCCTAAAGGATTGGAACTGCAACAGTGGCAGATTCTTCAGTGTCTTGGAGGGTGGGGTGGAGCTGGGATTCGAAATCTCACATTCAGAGCTACCTCTAAAATAGCCCTGAACGAATATCACATCTGCTCTTTCCTTTGTTTCAGTCGAAAAGGCAGAGAATGAACTCAGGCTGACTGTGGACGGGGAGCCAGGAGAGAGGGCCTTGGGCAGCACAAATGCCATCGCTGCAGACACCAGGGATCCGCTGTACTTTGGCGGCATACCTGGTAAGGACTGGCTTTAGAACTGTTCACACTAAAGCACTAGTTTGCTGTTGTATTATACAGCATTCCCACAAGGCACTTGATTATCTCCTAAACAATGAGCACTGTAGTTGACGTTAGACTACCCCATGGCAATACCTACTCAACAAAGCATTTAGTAACTCATAAAAGCTTGTTCGTCTGAATATCTTTTACTCCTTCCCTTCAATGCTAGTCTCTGTGTCCAGGTCACAATCTTTTGTCGCAGTGTTTTTGCCCGGCCAGTAATAGTTCAGGTTTTAACCATGGGGCAACATTTTGAACATTAGAACAAAAAAGGAATACCTTTGAGTGACGTGCCATCGAGTTGACTTACTGAACTCATGTGGCACGGGCCAGAGTGGACAGAACAATTTTCATCAGAATGTGCACAAACTGAAAGGTCTCTGTGTAGTGTTTTAGCTGTGTTTCACGTTTCCATCCCTTTGATGGGGTCCTATTGTACAGAGTCCCCAGTTTCTTTCGCCTTTTTAGTTTAATACAGACCTGGATCTCGATCAGTAATCACAAAGCTGCTTCACTCTATCAATTTCAACAACGTCAGATCACTGATCATGACCCCAATCCACGTCAAGCATTTAACAAACAGGCCTTTTGAAAATCAACAGAGGAGAAATTAGTCTTGAGTTGGCAGACCATGGTGACCAATGCGGTCTATGTTGTTCATTTCAGACAATGCCGAGCACCAAGGTCTCTCCATCCGGGACAAGTTTGTGGGCTGCATTCGGGACGTCATGCTGCGGGATGATCTGGTCAACTTCAAGGAGGCCGTGGAGGTTGTGGGTGACGTCAACACCATGTCCTGCCCCGCCAACTAGAGAGGGTGCCACCACTTCTCCCCTTCAAAATGCACAAATGTTTGGCATTAAACTGCAAATGGAATGGAACAGTTTTAATATTTTACATTTTTAGCATTTTTACATCTCTTTCTTTTTAATCATTTGAGTTTGTGTCATCATGTTATCAAACGGTATGTGTCGTGCATTTTTAAATTTTCAATTGGACGGGATTCTAATGAAGTTAGGAAATCCTTGGAATTTTGGGGGTGACGGAAATGGGTTGTGAAAAGAATGATATAAACAATTGTTTTGTGTAATTTGTTGAACTTCGGTACTTGCAGGAATCAGGACTGGAAATGAAAAAAATTGAAGTTGCACCCTGCGATTCTTGAGTCTGTTTGATTTGTAGATTGCCATTAACATTTGCAGAAATCTTCGTGCACTTCGCTCTGGTACCCGAATTCAAGCGGTCGCAAACTATCAAGTTCCTACAAATTTTTTGACATTCAAAACAGACCAGTTTTAGAATTGCAGGGCATGCGCCGAACTTCAGTGTGACAACGGATAAGAGGAAATGACTTACAGTGTAGCACTTGGCTTCAAGCACCATCTGCGTCAATGAATTTTTTTTTCAGGATCGAGTTTTCATAGATGAAATACCCAAATGGCGATGTACTCTCATTTTCTCATTTCGATGCCAACCATGCCCTGTGCAATTCATCAGCCAGGATTTCTTTGACAGTCAGCGTGCTTGAGGTCAAGTGACCATGCTTTGAGGCCAAATGTATCCCAAGCTGTGGACGCCATTCTAACTGAAGAACTAAAAGAAACCACCAAGTAGACCTGAAACCTGAAGGTTGATGTTTTCCAAAACTAGTTCAATAGTTGGCTGATGTATGTAACAAGCTCAGATGTGGCCTTCAACTCTCGCCGATGCAGAGAGACATTTTATAGTCATCACCGAATGGCTACGTGGCTCCCAGGCATCACAGTGCACTTATAATTGACACAATTACATGATTGCCATCTGTCTTTCATGGAACAACAGGTCTGTGTACTGCTGTAATTTGGGATACATTTCGCCTCCGTAAATCTTAGTTTATGTAGAGTTTAGATACCTTTTTATGTACTAACACTATCCCAGGGAACACAACACTTACCTACCTTTCTGGAGAAGTTATTTTTTTTAGTACTAAATTCTCTGAAATCGTTCTAAGCGATAAATTGGCTCAGCACCTGCATGTAAAGTATTCGTACATCACTGATGATCAGAAAATTACTGACTAATATGTTAATTACGTGGTATCTCCGATGAAAGGCATTATGAAATTAGCTTTCAATGAGAGGTGCATTTTGTGTTTATATTCCAACTCTTTCATCTGCCTTTGAAAAAAAAAGAAACAGAAAATCTTGGATGATTGATCCGGCCAGAAACTGTTGATCAATGAAGGAGCAAGCATTCTATTCGCGTCAAATTTGAATGGGTACAACTGAGCCATTCATTATGCATTAGGCAAATATACCAGGTCATAACAGTAAAAACTAAGTCTTGGTTTTCAAAGCTCTAAATTGTGAACAAATTCAGACTCTGTGCAAGCAGCCTTGTGTCCCTTAAAAGAGTTTACCCGCTTCGTACCTACATATATGGGGTGCTAACAAGGGTGTTTTTTTTTTAGTGTAGTGTAAGATTGAAATGAAAGCAAAAGCAAAAAAATGTACTAACCCGGAGGTTGCAGAAGACCGTTAGGTCATTTTTTTACATCAGTAGGGGGCACTGTAAAGACAACCATGGATGGGAAGACGGCATTCTCTTTCCAAGATAAAGTCACTCACCATGTTTAATTCGGTAGGCCTAATGGATGAAAAAAAAATACTGGATTTTACGTGTATTAGCTGGACACCGTATGATTGCTCAGGCCCTGCATTGCAGCAGTGGTGTATGCATGGCATCATTGAGCAGCGCCCTAGCTCCTCTGATACGTGCACAAATACAGTATTTCTGTTCTATGCATTAATATGATGCCGATTGTTGCTTGCCAAGTGTTTCCATTTGCTGGCTAGTTTTCTCATCACAAATACACGTACAGTCTGAAATATATAAAAAGCATGACTTCAATTTTGAGCTTTGATGAGGTTTGGCATTTTTTTTTAAAGTCTCTTTGATAATAAAGCCTCGGTTCTACTGCAACTCCACAACTGCCTCGTGTTCTCTTTTTTACTTTTTAAATTCCAAGCTGATAATGGGATTTTCAGACCTAAACCGTCGAGCAAAAACACACTGTAACCGTTGATCTTTCAATAAATTGACGATTGTTTAGGTATTGCTGTGAACTGTAAAGTACTACTCCCCTCAAAAATCCACAATAGGTCCATTGGTCCCGTGTTTTGTGCTTCAGCACCCATTTCTGGAACTGTATCCGGATGTTTAGAACATGTTTTCATGCAAGGACTTATCTGAGGTCGTCAACAGGGTCATGCCCCCCACCTTTTTAATAAAAGGTAATAATTATGGCCTCTTAGTTCCTTTCAAAAAGTGTTAAAAGCCCCCCCAATGTAGCCTCGCCCCCAGAAATGGCACAAAAGTTATACATCCAAAAAGTCATTTTTTTGTCCCCGCCCCAATATGTCAACTCCCTTTTTGACCGGGCTTTTAAAGAACGTCTGTATGGAATAACGCGAAAATTTATTTGCAATCTGCATGCTTAGTACTGTGGCCACGTCTGAATGCACACGCCCACTGGAAGCTGGCTGATTTTGAAAGAAGTCTTGTGAAACCGTGCTACAAACGCACCAAAAGATATCAAAGTCACTGTTAATTCTCTCTAATATGCCTGTGTCATTTTTTTGTCTTTGAACTACGTTGCCTACTGGTTCAAATCAAATGAAAGAGTGGAGGCCCTCTTGAAAATGAAAATAAATAGCCCACTTTCCCCGTTTCCTTCAAAATCCAAAGGATCAGAATGTTGTTCGTTTGTTTGGCTTGGCGACAGCTGTTTTCGATCGCTGAGGCTTATTGGGTTTCCTGTCTTGAGCATCAATCCAGACACGTGGCCTCAAAATCAAAGCTGTTACCATTGATGCTGACCCTCGAGCTCGGTGCAAGAAACCGCGTGGACTTTGTTCGGAAGTCTTATGAAGATCAGTGTGTTTTCACGCTTGATGACTTTAACGGGAAGGTGTGATTTTTTTAATGAGTAATCAGTTTTGTCATTGGATCTGTGGGTTTTGTTTTTCAGAAGGATTTGGGTGTCCTCTATTCGTAAACACCGCGATACAAAATAACTGACACTGTAAGTGTTAAACTCATTGACGAAGATCGCCCATGTGTTGGATGAATCTTGGTTTTCTTTTTCTTCCGGCAAACAAACGTGGGACGAAAGTCCGAACAACTCATTTGAAGCAAGATATGGGACGGAGAGAACCCCCCCCATCGCCTTTGTGCTGGTCATTGTTTTATCGGAATCTCAGGAATTCTTTACAGACTTCTAGGGGGATGTGTTAGGTAACAATAGTCTAGAGTGTGTATAGGGATTGGACAGGTAAGGGGGTACCCCTCCGTCCCATATGTTGTCCAGTATAGAACAACTTGAGCAAATGGAATTTCATGGTGAAGGACAGCAACTGATGGAAAGGCTTGCGGTAGCACCATGCGAAGGAATATATCTGGCTTATGAGTATGTGTGGTTCTGAAAAGAACCGGGAGTATACACGTTGTTTCAGACTGCGTGCTCACATACTCACAAGTGAGATATATTCCTTCGAATGGTGCTACCGCAAGCCTTTCCACCTACAACTCGAGTAAAGATAGGCATTTTGTTCCTTTTTCACCCGTGTAGATGGACCGCTAGCTACAGTCCCGGCCAAAATTTAGTTGGAACACGTCATCATAAGCATGCCCTCCCCAGGTTCCTCGCCCTCTCTGTCAATGTTATCACCAGCTGGATTACAGACGGCGGAATGAGAGAACACTGACCTGGGCTGGGGTGAAACAGCGAGATTTGGCCCTAATCACATGGTAGTTGCACCAAAGGTTTTTGTTGTTGTTTTTTTCGGTCGCTACGGCGTACATACTGCAAACGTATACCCTTCTTCAGGTTTAAGGAATGATTGAATTTCCATTGGATATTTATTAATAAACTGATATGGGAAGGGTATGAACTTTGCCAAATCTCAATTTAAGAAAGGTTTTAAAGGTAACACGTGCATGAGAAATAGCTTCTCTGTTCTCTTACAAGTAATGAATGCAAAAGTAATAGATATTCCTTTTTACAATAATACATATACACATGACAGGAGACGTTTTAATATACGTGTATTTCTTTCATACTTAATTCAACTTTTTCTGGTTTTACCTTTTCACGTTGGACCTTTATGTTTGACTACGCAGAGTATAGTCTGGTGTACACTGCCCGATGAGAGACATTTCACTGCACGACGAGGTATGATTCGTTTCACTGCGCGGTTAGAGTCGTTGCTCTGCGCGATGAGAGTTTTTGCTCTGCGCGGTAAAAGTAGTTTCGCTGTGTGGTGAGAGTAGCTTCACTGCTCGATGAGAGTCATTTCACTGCGTGATGAGACTTGTTTCGCTGATCAGATGGTAGGCTCCAATTTTTGTGTTTTGGGAGAATGATCACAAGAGGTTACCAAGTCCATTTTAATAGAGCCTGAAAGTTGACCTCTGAAAGTAACTACCTCTGGAATCCTTGGGTAGGGAAAATAATTTGCAAAAGATTTATCAGAAATTTTATTTTAGAACTTGTAATTATTTTTCTTTCGTTTACTTCTTTAGAAATCACCTCAGAAATTACCTTTTTAAAATATTTTACTACCGTATATTGACAAATTGCCTGACCTGAAGAGAAATATCTTGTCAGAAATTGACCACTCATTTCCGTAAATCTCATCGCAATCAGGTGACTCGGTGTACTCCCACACACATTAAATTTAACGGAACTATTTTGTGGCAGTCATAGTAGAAACTGAAATTAAAAAAAGAAAGGAAAATTTGGAGATCCAAAGTCATTTAAGATCATTTAAAGTTTTTTTATATCACCACCTAGTTTATTTAATTTTATATAGCACCTAAGTAGATCCTCGTCATTTGATTGGAGGGATTGTAGGTCCCTTGATATTTTATAGACTATTTCGTGCCTTACGTCATAAACGTTGAACTGTGTTATATACACCGTGCATATGTTATAAACAAATCCGATTAGACGCCATTACTGGCACCGCACTCACACGCGCATTCTTTAGCTTGACGCGCGCGTGTATATGGCAAATCATGACATCCTATTGGTCGAAAAGGCATGTAATGCGCGCGTACCACCTGTCCCTGAGCGTTGCAATAATGGCTTCTTCTGGTGGTCGAATTACAAAGTAGGCCTACTTCGATCTTTTGCACGCAAAGGCCTTCAATGGGTAATTTGTCAACAGACGGCGCGTGTTATGCCCGTAAAATGGCGGCAGGTTTAAGCAATTTCGCGTTGCTGAATGACGAGGAAATTGCGGAATTACTTGACGGAGCGGACGCAAAGAATACAAAGAAATAAATTCAGTGTGCTGTGCGTCGAGTAGGATCTTACGCGAGGTGCGCTGGTTCGAGTTTAGACGAGGTAGAACAGCGATCCGCTGCAGAACTTGACTTCTAGTTCCTGTCACGTTTTACGATGGTCTACGAAGAGACGACGGCACATTGTACACTAAAAAGTCAAGGCATGCAATTCGGTATGGACTGCATCGTTACTTTTTAACGTCCAGGGACATGGAAATAACCAACAAGGGTACCGCTTGAAGGATAGCAACAAGGTCTACAAAGGCATGATGGTTAAGCTTTAAAAAGCAGATGACAGAGGGTAAGTGGGCCTACCTTTTTCATTGTTATTTATATTCATATATTTTATAAAGTGACAAATGTTCCATTCAACTCGCCTGCGAATTTATAGCCCTTGTAGGCCTACTCGTAGGCACAGTAGCTTTTGTAAACACGATGGCTGTGGTCAGTGAACTGAAGTCAATAGACCGATTCGCTCACACCATAGCTGTGGTGCGTATTAATTTCGTCCAACCTTTCCTTTGCAATGCTTACTGGGCCGCCAAACAACTCTTTACCGCGCAATGAAACAACTCTCGTCGCGCAATGAAATGACTGTCATGGCTGACTGTCATGGCGCACTGTAATGTAGACTGAATAGAGCGCCATAGTATAGGCACGTGGCAAGGTTTAGACATGCATGAACAGACTTGCATCGCCTATGAAGCCGAGATGGGACGAGAGCAGCAATCCAACGCCATTTTGGCGTTAGGCAAAGATGCTATTTACAAAGATTGTTCGAGTGACGAATGTAGTCAGAAAAAGCTCGACCAGTGTCACTCGAACAATGGATAGTATGTTGGACCACTTTAATTGACCATCTGGAACCAGGGCCTGGTGCATAGTTCCGTCTCTGGTTAGCATCGCTGTGAATACGTCACTCGCACAATTTGTAAAGGGAATTTGCGCGGGAACCAGTGCCTGAACCAATACGGGAGAAAGGGCATTAGAGCGCGAGAACCAGCGCTTGAACCAATACGGGCGGGAGCCACGGACGTGTATAATAAAATCTGGACTCGCGATGCCCTTAATCAGCTTGTAGAGTCATTGAATCCACTCGCGGCCATTTTACCAAGCCCAATACAAAGCTTTCCTGGCAATGTTCGCCTTTGTTCTTCCAGACGTCAAAAGAAGGGAGCCAACCCATGCTTTTTTATTTGGCTCGGTAAAATGGCCGCTGGTTGGCTTCTTTTTCATACAAAGGCGTTGCGAGTCCAAGTTTTTATATACGTCCGTGGCGGGAGCTCACTTCGTTCGCACTACATTTGCCGGTTTAAATGACGCCACACTTCGGCACACTACAGAATGTTCTTGTTTTTAAATGTCATGTTTATGCATGCCACACAGATTCGTGAGACTAGATACACGTGTACTCAGTTAACAAGGTACTTAAAGTCCCTTTAGCCCAAAAAGAATGCTACGCTCAAAGTTTTGCGGTGAGTGGTGCCAAGACATGGAACAATTTGCCAGGGAAGTATAGACTCCGTAGGGACAGTCAAATCAGAACTACAGAAAGCCATGACCAGTGCTGTGTATGTAGACCAAAATGCAGATGTCTGGAGTTGTAAACTTGGTTGCCAATGGTCATTGGAGCCGGATTGGGAATTTCCGCGTGTTCTTTTTTCCATATGGTTTTTTGCGGGTTTTTCGTCCATCCCCCGATGAGTATTGAATTAATGCCTTGATTATTTAAATGCTCACATGTGTATGATATTTTAGTGGTTTGTATTTGTGTTTGTCGTATTTGTCAAGTTTAATTGTCGTTGTGAGTTTCTAACTATTTTTTGACTTGTAATGATCGCAGGGCCCTAATGGAAACCAGTTTGTATTAAACTGTTTGGGCAAACCCTGGGTAACGAAATGGAATAAATAAATAAATAAATAAATAAATAAAGTTTTTTGACGAGGGTCGTTCGAGCGCACTGCACGTATTGCACGTGCGCATTGACAATCACCAATTGGCAACTTTCCAGCGAACGACCTTACACGCGCGGTAAGACGCCCCAAAAGGGGACTTTTGCTCAGGCAAAAAAACCCACGTTTCTAGTCAGGGGCTGGCTCCAAATGTGTTGCGGCGACGCGGCTGTGTTTTTTTCTCTGTTTTTTTTCCTGTGCGCACGGATTGCCGTATCTAAGCAGGTCTCCTTTCGTGCTTTTTTTCAGCTAAAGCAATTTAATGGGGTTTTTCTAAATTAAAAAAAAATTGAAAACTCCACTAACAGTATAGTAGAGATTAGTGCAATAGATCAATTTGCTGACGCCATTGCTGAGGCGTCCCCGTCACTCAGGGGCGCATTCCTATTGTAGGCTTGACGAGCGCGTGACATGTTAGCAGTGCGCTCCCATTGGCTGATGAGGAAGCATTCAGTGCGCATCTCTTTTGTGCATCTCATTTGTTCACGCGTGTGGGGACACCGCAGTAATGGCTCTTGATTCTTGTCACCACATCGGTCTACACGGGCGATTCACAGTAGTGCCCCTCCAAGAGTTTCGAACGCGTTGACCAATCACAATGCGCGAAATCTATGGACCCTTTCCAAACGCGCATTGGATCGACAGATGTCGCGCACTGTGATTGGTCAACGCATTGCAAACTCTTGGGGGCGCACTATTGTGAAACCCCCTATTATCTCCAATGCTTGAACTGATGGTCTCTGCTCAGTCGCAATGTCGACCGTGCATGCGCGGCACGCATAGTGCTTGTTCAAAGACTAGCGTACGATTCGATCCACCATCAGGCCGAAATCAACACTTTTATGAGGATAACCCACTCCGTCCATCCAGGGGGCGGTCTAATACTTGCTTGACGTCAATGATCTGTAGTATTTATGTAGATTACAGCCTACTGCGGTTTGCGGTTGACCCCCAAGGAAATTGTACTTCATGAATTCATTGCCGTTGTTGAATTAATTATTAAACATCGGAAAATAATTGGCAGGTGCGTTCGCAGACGCAGGTGGTGGACAGTACCCGCATCATATTAGGTTGTTTGGTTATATTACGTGTGCACTTTTATGTCCAGTATTAGTCTCTTGTTGAGCGTATGGTAATAATACTAATAACAGCAAAGCTTGTACAGGCACTCGACATGTAGAATATTGAAGACAACATTGGAAGCAGATAATGAAATTGGATCAGTTTTTCCAGAGAGCGTTAGGCTTCAACTTGCACTCTCCCTCCATACTTTCTACTTGCGGGGAACGGCACAGATCTCGAACGGCAGGGGCGACCACGTGATCCCTGCCACGCCCTTGAAGGAGATGGGCGGGGCCAGAGTTGGTTTCCGAAAGGTGAAGCGGTGGATGAGACGAGTAAAAAAGACGAAGAGCTCCGTCCGAGACATTTGCTCGCCGATGCACATGCGAGGACCTGGGATGGATAAAAAAAAATTCGCGATTTAGTATTTGAATTCAGGAAAACAGTTCTACAAAATTCTTTAAAGTACTCTATCGCAAAATCTATATCCGACCTTATAATAGTCATGTAAACATACTGTACATGAACAGGACCGGTGGTTTTATAGAACTAAGGTTCCCGTTTAAACACCACGGCCCATTAACACTGGTGACATTGCTGATTTACTAGTTATATTTGACTAAATTATATAACTCCGACAATCTGCATTCTTTTCCTCAAAGTTTGGTGACTTATTGACAAAATCTTGTACCTGTAGAGAAGGGTAGCAAGTCGTACTTCCTGTTGGAGAGCTGCCCGCTTTCGTCCAGGAACCTCTCCGGTTTGAATTTGTCCGGCTCAGGGAATACCTTTTCGTCCAAACCGAGCATTCCCAGGTTAGCAAACACCAAACTGCCCTTAGAGATATGGTATCCGCCGATGGTGGTGTCCTGGGAGGCCTGGTGCGGTGCCCCGAGGGGAACAACGTTGCCCAGGCGAAATATCTCCAGCATGACCGCCTCGGTGTAGGGCAGCCGTGGCCGGTCGGCCATGGTGGGGAATCGCTGGCGCCCCACGACAGAGTCAATCTCATCTTGAACCTGTTGGTTTGGTCAAACAGATGCAGGATATGAGAACACACTTTCACTTTGGTCATTTCAAGTTTAAAAAACTTGATAATAAGGGGTGTTGTTTGGCTTAATTTCTTTCTAATTCTGTGTGGACTTATGGCGGCAGACAATGGCATCACTGTCATTTCAAGTCAAAGAAGAAACATACACCTCAAACGACTGAGATCCATGTGGCTACTTCAGAGGATCTGAAAATTTGGAGCATATTGGAGAGTCCTATACCTGCTGTATGTAATGGCTCTTACAAACTTAAATCTGGCACACGACACTCTTTTATACCAACCAATGCCTAGGCTTTAAGGTTATCTGATTATTTCAATCGAGGTACATGTACCCTTTGTTGAATTTCAGGATGTGCCATCATGTAGATCATTCCCCACCGAACCGATGTCGATGTAGCCTCCGTTCCAGCCACAAAGAGATCCCCCACAGTGGCGTACATGTCGTTCATATTCACGTTGGACTTGTTCACCGACGACGCCTCCATCTCCCGCAGGTACACGTCGATGAAGTCCCGCGGGTGCTCCGGGTCGAAATCTTTCTTGTGCTCCTCCAGGACGTCCCGCGTGAACTCGCAGATGAGCTTGAGGTTCTCGCCAGTCTCCCGGACCGGGGGCAGGAACCGGGCGAAGACGTGGGCGCCGGGTAAGACCTGCAGCGCTCCCGTCACGCCGCCGATCAGCTGGATGTTGCGGTAGATCGCCCCGAGCAGCCGCTTGAATTGCGGGTCATCGTAGTCGTAACGAGTGCCAAATACCACCTTGCAGATGACGTTGGACACGGCATTGGCCATCAGGACGTAGGGGCTGAACGGCCGGCCCTCGTGTTTAGCCACTTCTGTCAGCAGATGGCCAGCTTCCACTGCCACCTGGTCTTCAAAGTCAGTTCTGTTTAAGCCAAAGTCCCTCATGAAGGTCATGGCGATCCGTCGCTGGGTCTTCCACGCTTCTCCAGACGAAAATGCAACTCCTGTGTGTCAAGAAAATATGTTCCAATTTGAGCCGCCATGTCACTAAAATGCGCAGCGCCATAAAATAAAATACCGTCGGTACTCCAAAATGTTTCGTTTGTGTACCCAAAGAAAATTATAAACGTTCATCATTTGCATAGTATTTTGAAGCTTCCACCTGCATTACCGTCATTAACGGGCGAGTTCAAGAGACAAACATGCACTTGAAGACCACTTGTCGAATTTCCCAGATAACTGGTAGGCGGCCCGCTATACAACATAATAATTCATGTACTAGGTACCGGTCAAAATTGATCCGTGATTGATAGATGGTCGTTTCCCTAAATCGGAGAACAAATGATTAACTGCAGAATGATAAATGTCGACCTATAATTAAGACTTCTTCGAAACAAATCTCTAAGTATATGTACCGGTAGATAATGGGGAAACAGCTTACCCCTGACAAGAGTCAACGATATTTAACACAGGAACTTAATTCATCAGTTTCTGCTCAGTCTCCAAAAATCGATTACGTGCGTGTATACTCACTGCAGGAATAAACACATGTCAAGCGTACCTGCGCCATCCAAAACATGTTTGAGTATCTTAACAGATGGTCGATCGCAAATGAACTTGTTGTGGAAAGCTTCTTTGATTGTCTCGGCGCCGTGCAGGATGACAAGGCTCAGCCCCACAAGACCCACAGAATATACCGGTCCGTAAGTTTTGTAGTAACTGAAGTGACAAAAAAAAAATCCATTTTACACAACCCCTGAACAAATCTGATCGGTAGCTCATTGACAGCGTTGTCTAAGTATCACACGGAGAAGGAAATTATTGTCACTAAAATGCTAACAATTTCTTTATTACCAATGACACAAGATGGGCTCTGGGAGCAAAAAAAGTTCTGTCACCAAATCAAGGTAACTTTTTTCCGATGATGGTGGCCAATAGTTGCAAACGTAAGTCAAGCTTATTTTGTGACAGCGCTTTTGATCCCGGTCAGTGTCAATCTGTACCGACCTGAAGTGCATGTTTACCGGCAAAGAAAGGACAAGATGGTGGGACGTTTTCCAACCGGACCTGTGCACATACACGTCGCACACCTGAAGTACTGTACATCTGAAACCTAAAGCCATTCTGGGTACATACTGTAGTGAATTGCGTGCGATGCTGAATACGTACTTCGTGAGTCACTGTTGTTTTGGAATCTAAAAGATTTCCATTTTAAATGTGACATTTTAGAATTTCGCCGACGGAGATCTTTTATAGTGCGTTTGTCTCCAACACATCGGCAAAACTTTGCCTGTTGATTTAGTCGGGTGCCGTCTCGTTACGGTAGACCGCCATTGTTTTGAATGGGAGCTTTCTGTCTATGTGTTTATTTATGTCTTTCGGAACTACCGATCTCCTTCTACACAGAGTTTTATTTTCTTTTTGTTTACCAACGTTTGCAGAAGGTTTGCAGAATTTCACCCTGGTTCGCAACATACAACCTTTGCCCCCAAAAGCACTTTAGTGTTCTCGGTGTTAACATGGGAGGTGACAATGTAGTAGATGCATTCGTTATTTAGCGTTTTCATTGTAGCTTGAAATGATTTGAAGCTTTGTGAATTACTCTTTTGATTTGTATTCGCGGCCACCCACAGTCTTACCAACCACTGGCTATAGCCAAAAAATGCTTTTTGTGATGTAGCAACAGAAAAACCTATAATAAGGAAACAAATTGAATGTGCTTGGCCTTATGAACGCTGATAATGACCGCACCGAGGTTTTAAATATAATAATTTATTTGTTTTTTAAGCAACCCTGAATAGCCATTTTATGGTCTCCTCCACGTTTGTAAACGCTATCCTTATATGGAGATAAGGGCACTCGCAGCCGCATACTGCATGAGGTGCCGGTCTCGCACAACTAGCTGGTATTATATCTGCCTTTCAAGGTCATTCACGTTATGGGCTTTCGACCAATGGGAGTGGTTAAACTGTCTTAAGGTATTTACGAATAGGTACTAATGGGTGGTGACACCACCCATTGATCTCCATCAAAATATCTCAGTGGCTCTATCACACTCGACGTTATGCACCTACCTCGTTCCCATGGGTACGATCTTGCTGCGCCATGTTGGTTCCCAAAACTGCACGATAAAGTCGGGGGTTGGTTATGCCTGTTCTCTCGAAAACACTCTATTTTGGTGTCAGAGATATATCTTGCGCATGCGTACTGAGGCCCGTGAACGGCAAAAGTAAGGTTTCCTGAGTCACATCGGATAGTGGCTACCACGCGCACAGCTATAACGAAGAAGCTCCAGCCATTAGCTGGGGGCAATTTGTGGATGCATGTTCTTTACAGTCCTTGCCGAGACATTTGGAGGCAGGTTAATGAGCCAGCGCAGTATTCAACAGCGCATGCCCAAAATGAAGCTCGTCGGCAAGGTCAGTCCTATCAGCGCCAACCTCAAGTCTACGGGCTACATGAAAAAAAATCATCGCCATTTGACAAGGAGGAGAAAGTTTTTAACATGCTTTTCGGTTCAAGATTATTTAAGTCACGTGAAAAAAATAACGTGACGATGTGAGGTAGGGTTAAGCACGGCTTTCTAATCAGACCATTTTCAACCAGACAACCTTTGTGACATTCTCATAAATCAGTCGCCGTTACATTCACTGCATGTATGTGGAGCCCAGCCGGTCGACGTACTTTAACTTGGAGACTAAAAACTATGGTGTACTATTTACGACACACATTTCTCTTTCTCCCTAGCTCCCACCAGGCGACGCAACTACACCACGCGACGGCACGACAGCTCCCTTGCGTCGTGCCGTCGGGTTGCACCGTCGCCTTCTTGCCGTTACTTTTGTACACACACGACACGTCGCGTCGTGCGTCGCGTCGTGCCGTCGCCTGTCGCGTTGTGCTGCCTTAGGTCCTTTCCATGTTGCATTTTTGCCGCCTAAACGTCGCCCCTTCGCGTCGTACCGTCATGCGTCGCGTCGTGCGTTGTGTCGTGCATCGCATCGCCTATTACGTTGACTGAATTACGACGCGACGCACGACGCGTCGTGTGCTGTTGCCCTTTGCTTTTTGGTGTTTACAGAGGGCGCCTTTACTGTTTTCTTTCATTTCCACCCCCCCCGTACTTGCATAGTAAGGTACAGTCCACTAATTCAAGCTCCATTGAAAACAGTGTAAAATCGGCACTGTTCAGGGCCCAATAACATGGATACCAACATCCTTGAGTTGCTGAAACACAAATGAAATTATTGTCTGGTCCCTAATCTTTCGATTTTTTTTCAATTTATTGTGGGCTAACCAATTACATTTTTAATTATTCCAACAAAACAAAATCACCCCCGAAAAGTGAGTTTTCCTAAGTCTGATTGCAGCCATTTTTCAAGTGGCAACCCTCAATCTTCTCGGCCACTTAGGACCATTTTTCAGTTGTAGTTTTTAGCCATTCTGCTCTCATAGGATAGCTCAAAGATCCAGGCAGTTGATCCTGGCAGCGATTTACACAATCTCACCATTTCAGGGGCCAAACAATCCCCTTTTTTTCAGAAAAATGCTGGGCTGCTACTTTTAATGCTAATGAGCTGACCAGAAATTCTCACTTAAATAGTGGATTGCACGCACCCAGTACATGGCATTCGCTCTTTGTACGCTGCCGCCATGGGCATGTAGAGCCTTGAACTGACAGCTTTTGAAATATTCTCCAATCGTATTGTATAGATGGTAGAAGAACTAACGCGACATCATGTCTAAAATTACTTTCCAAAATACACGGAAAAAGCTGCCAGATCGAGGCTCTGCATGCCTATGGCGGAAGCGTACAAAGAGCGAATAGGTAGCAGGTCTTGTCTCTGTTGTTCTTTTTCATGCATGCTTTCTAACTGTGTGTTTTCATTAAGAGTGGGTTATTGAAGAAAAGAGTTTTTTTAATCGTAATGTAATTAGAAAGAGCGTCACGACCAACAATCAGCCTTGTCTCCAGGAAATAAATAACATGAGCCACAACGTTCTTTTAACTTTTCCTGCTCTAATTTTGATCTTCCTAATAATTATGTAATAGAATTGATTATGTTCCCCCACTTTTTGAAAACGACGGGCTTCTGCCATGTGCAGAGCTTTCCATGTCTGATATTTCTACATCAATATGAACATTTTCTTGGAGAGACTGAAGTTTTTCTGTAAGTATGCAGTGTCTGGCAAGGTACTTCTCATTATAGATGGGCCAAGCTTCATACGTAAAATCTTTAATATTTGATGGAATTGCTCACTGAAATTTTTGATTCATGTTAATTCACCATTCAATTTTTAAATGGTTTCAGTGAGTTCAAGGTGTGACTGAGCAATCTAAAACTCCAGGTGTGAGACTGACCTTTTTAAACAAAACAGGGTTAAATTGGAAAACAATGTGTTAGTACAGTTGTAAATGAATTACAAGTGAAAAATGCTGATCGAGTTAAAAGAAACCCCAGCTATGCAGTTTTAACGACGCCGGTTCACAATCTGAAATATCATTTTTATCATGTTACGCAATACTAGATCATTACACAACATGAACTGACAGTTTTAAACAAAATTGAGCTGTGAGTTGCAAATTTATGTACAGCCCAGGAGTGGAAAACCAATTTTAGTATCACGTACTGTCCCCCTATTACCTGCCCACACTGTCCCATAATATGTTTGGTTGTGACGTCATTTGCCGCATTTAAACCGACATAAATGACTCAGCATGGTTTAAATTATAGCGTAATTGTTGAAGGGTAATTGTTGCTGATTCCAACATGCAGTGCTTCTTTTCAATGACTTCCTGCACATTATGCAAATATGCTTAATGGTCCATATTACCTGCACCTACCCCATGCTCATTTGAAATACCGAACTACATGTTTATCCTTAAAATGCTGGTTTCGAACTCGACCAGACAAGATCGAAAAGGTTTGCGAGACTAGATACTCAGGCTGTTTGAACATCACTTTACGGAGGTTAGGAAGAAGGTTCAGTTTTAGAGGCAGGAGGAAACCGGAGTACCAGGACAAAACCTGTGAGAGCGAGTATGGACTGGAAACCAAACGCACTTAAAGCCTGGGCCAAGCCGGGACTCGAGTCCCGGGCCTCATTAGTACAAAGCGAGTATTCGCTACGTAGGCTAGCCCACTCGATCCCGCGGATCGAACTTTTCTAAGGTTGTTGCTTGAATTTGCCCAAGTTGTAGAAGGGTTTTAACCTGCTTTTCGGTTCAAGATTATTTAGGTAACGTGAAAAAAAATATAACGTGACGAGGTGAGGGAGGGTTAAGCACGGCTTTCTAATCAGATCATTTTCAACCAGACAACCTTTGTGACATTCTCATAAATCATTCGCCGTTACATTCACTGCATGTATGTGGAGCCCAGCCGGTCGATGTACTTTAGCTTGGAGACTAAAAACAGAGAAAGAGAGACGGGCTGAGGTGTAGCACTGTATCTGTTGTCAAGTCTACATTATATTAGGACGCCCGACTTGTATTGTATTGTTGCTGAAATCATCACTCCTCGTCAATGCAAAAATCAGTTGGTTGGTGTGGTCTATAAATGACCGATTCCTGACTTTAACCAATTTATAATAAGTCACCAGATAACTCTGGAGACTGTCACAAAAGAAAATAAATTCTCATCGATATGTGGTGATTTCAACATGATCTTAACGAATATTATTAGCTATTCACGAGAATGTTTGATACAGGAAATTGT